TTTTTTTTGTTGCTTTCAGCTTATATTTATCTTGGAAATTTGTGTGACCGTGTTCCCCTTGCTAGCAACTTGTATGTTTATGATAACATTCACTCAATGCCTAACTTGAAATGCAGGAGGAGATTGCAAGACCTTGATGTTTGTTCAAATAAGTCCAAGTGCAGCTGACTTGGGGGAAACCCTCTGCTCATTGAATTGGAAGTTGATGATACTTGTGCATACTAGGATTAATAATAGGATACCCGTGCATTAGAGCAACAAAAAAAGAGGAAATAGTGATGCCAAGGAGAAAAAGTTGCACATTCGTAGGAGGTTTTTAGAAATGAAGGGTGGCTAGGTTTTATTTAATACTCCCTCTGCCCTAAAACCAACTTCCCATTGCATTTTATGATGTTTGACCTAAGTTATTTTTAATTTAGTTTTTACGAATACTGGTGTGGAATTTAAAAATAACATTTACATATTTTAAAACTAAAAGATCTATGAAACTAGAGGTGACATGATTATAACTAGAGGTGACATGATTATATTTTTTTAATAAAAAAAAGTAACAAAAAGAAGCTAACATAGTGGATAGAGTTTGACTAGTAAGTAGTGAACGGGAAGATAATTTTAGGATGGAGGGAGTAGCATTTTGCGAGTTGTGCTTCGGCCCATTAAGTTGTTTTCAATGCTGGTTTACGCTGAACGCTTTGGTGAAATTAATTGTTAATAACAACTAACATATTGACAAATGGTGTACTAAATCAAAACATTTTTCAATTTAAGAGGATTAAAAATTTAAAATCTGTATTATCTTAATAAAAGGAAAACGATTTAACTTAATTTGTATGATGATTTTTTTTCACTTGTGTTATCTAAAAGTGATTATTTATTTTGGCATGACACGTACAAGTACATCTTATTATTTTATCTGATATTGCTTTAAGTTTTTTTTTGTGAACAATATTGTGTATATTTATTTTTTATTACTTTAAGTCTTCAAGATATAATGTCATTGCACAAATAAGATGAATTTTATGGAGAATATCTTTTACCATATTTTAATAATTTTATTTATTGATTCTAGGCGTAAGCCCATAAGGCACAGTCTGCCCCCGGGTTTTCCTTTCATTGCCTTGGCATAATTTTATAATGCTTCTTTAAAGAAATATTTATGAATTAAACTCATTTAAATTTAAAATGATAAATTCTATTCAAGCTCTGTTTAGACTTCGGATGGGAAGGATGAGGCTAAGATTTATAGGTATAACTTTACAAAATTGCAATTTTAGAATTTAAGGTGTAATGTTGCGGCAGGTGGGGCTAGGGCTGCTCTAAACTTTGACATGAGGGCATATGTGGGAATTCACAAGGAAATTCATCCGGCCCTATCCCCTTTGTTAGCAATGGTGCCTCGTCCCATGAGTTAAGTCAGTGGGGCTTCGCTGAGGAAAGATCAAGCTACTATCCATGGTGTAATTGTGCTAAATGTTTTCCATCATGATAATGGCTTTACTTATCTTATGTGGCAGGTCAAGGCCCCTGTCATTGTTGTGGGTTGTATGCTTGACATGAGGGATGATCAGCAAGCTATTAGTTTGGAGCAGGTTATGTTGCCCATAATGCAACAATTCAGGGAGATCGAAACATGTATTGAGTGCTCTGCGTACAAACTAATTCAGGTAAATGTGATTTCAGTTTTTCAAACTATTTATGGGATACCATGTATTAACTGCCAATTTCCATTCCTCGCATTATACTACATGCCCATAAAAGCTTCATTTCTTTACTAAAATCATCATTTCAAAGTTCAAACGATACTTTCTTTTGGAATGGGAAGTAGTCATCAAGATATGTTGAGTTTTATATGATTTTTTGGAGTTCGAGCATTTATGTTATCATGTCTTTGATTGAAAGACTGGATGTACTGCTAAAGTGTAGATCTTATGCCATTATCTCCAACAACCTGAAGCCGACGACTACTTGCAGGTTTCTGAAGTTTTCTACTACGGACAAAAGACTGTTCTGCACCCAACTGCTCCACTGTTTGATCAGGAAGCTCAAACTTTAAGACCAAGATGTGTGAGAGCTTTGAAACGAATTTTCATTCTTTGCGACCATGATAGGGATGGAGCCCTTAACGATTTTGGATAACTTTCAGGTTTTATATTTTGGAAAAATTTA